GTAAAAACAAAACTAGCAATTTACATTAAATGCATAGTTCTTCACTTACAGAAAATGAATAGAAAATGAAGAAGCAGAGATGATTTCTAAAAACCAAGGGCATAATGGTAAGAACTAAGATAATCAAAACAAGTGAATGTGGCTAAAATAAAATCACAGCAAGAAATGAAAGAAAATCTGCTTTGAGTTCCCCATGGTGCTTTTACATATTAGAGTAGAAAACTGCTTAAGGACTGATTTTTAATAATAAGGAACCATCAGAGATCAAGAGATAATTCTCAAAAATTGAAAAACTTGATTACTAAATTGTGAAGAACAAACTCAAAACTCTTTAGAGAAGGCCTGACATAGAATGGATGGACATAAATGACCAATTCTGCAAATTTCCTAGAATGTAGAATGGAAGACAGACCGCCAAATGCACACGGGAGGTAGAGCCTGCTCTCCTGATAGTATAGAAAAGTAACAGTTTTCCAGCTTATCGGCCATCACAAAAGTAGAAACTCACTTGCCCTCTCTTATCTGCTGGGCAACATCTGCTCAAGAGATCCTAACAACCTGTCTATCAAATTACTCAGGAGGGGTCCCTGGGTGGCTCAGTTGTTGGGCATCTGCCTTTGGCTTGGGTCATGATCCCGGGATCCTGGGATCGGATCCTAACAACCTGTCTATCAAATTACTCAGGAGGGGTGCCTGGGTGGCTCAGTTGTTGAGCATCTGCCTTTGGCTTGGGTCATGATCCCGGGATCCTGGGATCGAGCCCCGCATCGGGCTCTCTGCTCAGCGGGGAGCCTGCTTCCTCCTCTCTCTGCCTGCCTCTCTGCCTGCTTGTGATCTCTGTCTGTCAAATAAATAAAATCTTAAAAAAAAAAATTACTCAGGAAATACACAACCTAGATCGAGTAAAGGGCAATAACCACACGATATAAGAGGAACCAGAATCCTGAGAAAACAAGTCCAAGCAACATAATTTTATACAAAGACAATGGTATTGGCTCACATACCCAGAAGAGCTAACATGTAAATAACAAGGATTCCAGTAAATTAAAGGAACAGACGGAAGAGAATTAATCATGATGTAAATAAGTTACTTTCAGAGTTGAAAGCTTTTGAGTTTTCACATTGAAAGAGACATGCTAAAAAGATTCAGCATCAAAACAAAACAAAACTTTGGTTTCAGCTCTGACATTTAAAGAGCTTGGGAGTCACCACTAAATTTAAATTTAAATTTAAATAAAATTTAAAATTTTATTAATAAAGTTATTAAATTTTATTATTAAATATTTCTTTCAAAGAAAGAAAGAAGTGAGAAAAAGTATTGGTAAGTAATAAATAAGAGAAAAAGGATTACTGTCCAAATTACATAAAGGATTTTTTTTTAAATATTTTATTTATTTATTTGACACAGAGAGAGAGAGAGAGAGATCACAAGTAGGCAGAGGAGCAGGCAGAGAGTGAGGCGGAAGCAGGCTCCCTGTGGAGCAGAGAGCCTGATGTGGGGCTCGATCCCAGGACCCCGAGACCATGACCTGAGCCGAAGGCAGCGGCTTAACCCACTGAGCCACCCAGGCGCCCCTACATAAAGGATTTTTACAAGGTCATAAAAAATAGAGGAAAGTGAGCAAATATATAAACAAGGCACTCCACAGAAGAAACATATCACTGTTACTCAATAATTCACTAGTAAATAGTAAACCAACCATGGTAGGTATTCAGTGATGGGAAATAGGAAGTCTTGGTATCTGCAGGAGCTTCCTGTGTCACAGGATCTTTGAACTCTACCCCGTGAATGGCCGGCAGTCCAGAAAGTGGAAAAAACACTAACTGATGAACATTTTAGACAAGTTACTGAAAACAAGCTGGAGATGTAGAAGAGAAGCATAAAGACTGGAACAAAGAGAAAATGAAGCTATGGTAGGCTAAAAGGATAAGACAGTAAAAACAAATTTAAGAATATTAACAATTTAAACGAAATAAGAATGGGATGACTAACAAGATGGATAGGAGAACTGAGATACAGAGTGGTTTAGGACCTGCTTCTTATCACTTGGATGACTGGCTAAGCAGTGCTAACATCTGACAGAGATTAATGAAATACGAATACTTCCTAACTATGGATGTTGCTTCTGAACAAGTTACACACAGGGGACTAGCAGCTAGGTACACTGGAAAGACAAACTCTGGAGTCCCACAGGTGCTCCTCAGCTATAAGCACAGAGAGGATGGAACCCATGAGGGAAAATGAGAATAACAAGAAGCAGAAAGACTGGGGACAGGCTCCTGAGAGGAGGATAATGTTTAAGGGCAAAAGGATAAAAGAAAGCACGACGAAATAGAAAATCTAAACAAAGGTACAAGCCATTTGGGGTGATGTCAGAGAAACCAATAAGAGACACTCAGGAGAGAACAGTCAACAGTGTCCATTAGGTAGCATGCACTGGTAAGAGCCATCATTTTATATTTAATTTTATAATTACATCATTGTGACCTTTACCAAAGGAGATTAAGACAACTGGAAAGGAAGAAGCAAGAATGGTCTTACATGTGAAACAGAATTATGGACATAAAAGCCAAAGAGTAGGGGTCCCTGGGTGGCATTGGACATCTAGATGTCATTGGACATCTGCCTTCAGCTCAGGTCATGGTCCCAGGGTCCTGGGATGGAGCCCTGCATTGGGCTCCTTGCTTGGTGGGAGGCCTGCTTCTCCCTTTCCCACTCCCCCTGCTTGTGTTCCCTCTTCCTTGTGTCTCTGTCAAATGGATGGATAAAATCTTAAAAAAAAAAAAAAAAAGGAAAGAAAGAGAAGATGAAGAAGAAGAAGGAGGAGGAGGAGGAAGAAGAAGGAAGAAGGAGAAGAGCGTGTGACTCTTGATCCTGAGGTTCTGTGATCTAGCCACACATCGAGCTCTATGCTCTGTAGGGAGTCTGTTTCTCCCTCTCCCTTTCCCCTGCCTGCTGCTCCCCATTTGTGCATGCTCTCTTTCTCTTCTTTGTCAAATAAATTTAAAAAATAAATCTTAAAAAAAAAAAAAGCCAAAGTGTAGAACACTGAACTATCTGTGACACCAATAAATACAGCCTATTTGGGGGGGAAATCATTTACTTAAATATCATTAAAGGAGATACACTTGATTGCTTCCTCCAGATACTCTACACTTTATCCCTGGATCATAAAGGAACATCAGAAAATGGTCTAGAGCACTGCTGCCAATTTGGTAGGCACTAGTCACATGTGGCAACGAAGCACTTAAAATGTTGAAATGTGACTTAAGAACTAAATTTTAATTGTTCTAAATGAAATATCTACATGTGGCTAGTGGTTACTATACTGGACAGCATATAGTACCAGACATAATATTTTGATTCTCTGAAAATCTATATATTCACTGAGTTCTCCCTTAGCTCTAGAGACTTCTGTTCCCATTGAAGAACTGCTCAATGAAAGAGGCTACATTTCTTTTAGGGAAGTTGTTGAAAGGCTGCACACTTCATCATCCATATAGAGTGCAAGAAAGGAACCTTTTATTTAGACTTAAATGCTAGGAAGTCTTCATGACCCATTAACAATCAGTGTGGTTTCTCTTTATGGAAAATGTGAATCATGTAATATGTATGTATTTTTCCATGACTATCAGAAAGATCAGAAATAAATCTGCAGCTCATCTTTAAAACTCTGTAAGATCACAAAACCTGTCCATACCTATACATTACTTCATCTTGTTCTTGATCTGCTACTGTATATTTTCCCTGTTGTTGATTTATAATTTCTACATTTCCATTCTAATCTAACTCTTCAAAGACTTATACAAGGCCTTATAAATAAACTGGGAATAAGAAATAAACAATTCACCTGGGATCTGTTCATTTTCTGCTGGTTTTGGAAAAGTATGGAGAAGTATAAAGGTAGAGCTGGGAAGAAGGAAGTAAGAATGAAGTAAAGAAAAATATGGCCTGCCTTGCGGCTCCTGGATTCACCTTTCAAAAATGCTCCACAGAAGAAGCAGTTTAAACAACATGAGACATATGAATGACTAGATCATATTGAGCTTGGACATGTAATCTTTGAGTAGGAGAAAGTAAACATACACATCCCATTGATTATATTAATATTTTGCCTATGAATTAAGCACACACACAAAAAAAAACTTAAAATAGAACCAATATATCTGAATTTATTCAGGATAATATATGCATTCAGGATACTAATATAAAAAGTGTTTTCTTTAAACTGATGTGGTTAGAAATACCAAGATTGCACTGTTTTCCCATAATACTGAGATTGCACTATCTGTTTTCCTACGAATGTGATACTGGAAACATTGCTGAACAATTCACAGAGGGGCACCTGGTTGGCTCAGTGGGTTAAGCCTCTGCCTTTGGCTCAGGTCATGGTCTCAGGGTCCTGGGATTGAGCCCCGCATCAGGATCTCTGCTAGGCAGAGAGCCTGCTTCCCCATCTCTCTCTGCCTGCCTCTCTGCCTACTTGTGATCTCTCTGTCAAATAAATAAATAAAATCTTAAAAAAAAAAAAAAAGTCACAGAAACTCTGAAAAAGAGAATCAGCGCTTTTTTAATCTGTCCAAATTAGTTGCAATTTCATAACCTTTTTGATAAGAAACTTGTTTTTGCTGTGCAAAGGAGACAGCTTGGGAATCAAGAAGCCAAGAAACTCTTCTGTCTTGATCAGTAAGAAAGGAGTGATCTGTAACATCCGTTTATCTTCTGAGGCTCCACATGTTTTCTTTCAAATGAGGCAGAAACAGATACTCTCAAAAACCCTGTGCTACGACGATGTGATTCTAAGTTCAGAATAAAGAATAAAAAATATCTAGATACTAAATACATGGATATACACCATGTACAAGTTCAGGATTTGGAAAAAAGAGAACAAAAGAAACAGGCTGTGTAGAGAGCTGAATTAAACTTCCTCCTTGGTGATCCTTTCCTCAAGCCAACCACCCAGAGAGCCTGACATTTCTGCACATCTTGCCCCACTCACCACTTAAGGCAGCACGCGCCTCTTGCTGAAACCTGGTCTTGATCTTCCACTGTCACAGAGATGTCGAAGTTTCAGATGTGACATCTGAAAGCATGCTCATTTAGGGCGGGGAGTTCAAAAATTGCTTCTGGCCTTGGAAATCTGGAGTCTGTTTCTTTGGGGGGTTACTTCCACTTCTGTTCAAAACTCTGGTGAAAGGTCTGAAGAAGGTCACAGGGGTGTTTTCTTCCAGGTGGGTTTCTGATTTGTGCCGTTCCTTCCCTTTTATCTTTCTAGAATTGCTTTGTTCCTAAAGAAATGGAACTGGGGCCTACGGAACAAAATCATTTAACTGGAGTCTTCACACAAGACCCCCAATCTGACTCTCCCGAAGGCTGCTCTCAGGACTAGACCTTCTATAGGCTCCAATCAGAACTGCTGGACACACAAGCTGGGAGAGCTGGGAGGGGCCCACAGTCTCGATTATGGACTCTGACCCCAGGGCTCCTGAGAGCCAGGAAGGCATCTTGCCACTTGGTGGCTGTGAAGGAACCCAAAGTACTTTCCAGGTAGAGTGGCCTTTTAGCATCAAGAAGAGATTTGGATAACAGATCTGGCCTTTAACCCAACCCCCTCATCTGCGGGCTATGTGAACTCGGGTGAATCATCATCTCTCCAAAACTAGTTCTTATGTGCTACAACAAATGGTTGTGAAAATTCAACGAAATGCCACGGCTTTATCATTAACCACCACGCACTACGAGGCTCAAACATGCCTTGGTTCTCAGCGCAGAGAAGCGAGCTGAACAGCCGGGCCTCCTCCAGGGGGCGCCGCTGGGAGACAGAGCCGCCATGATAGGCCGGGCGCACCCGCCCAGTGCCGCAACCCTCCCACGCAGCGGGAGCCAGGCCCCGATTTTCCTGCAGGAGGCCCGCCTTTCCCACCCCAAGGTAGGGAGGCACCCACTACGGAGTCCTCACAGCCGCGTTACGCAGACGGACACCGGCCATCCACCCAACGCAGCAGAGCTATAGGCCCCGCCGCCGAGCCTACGTGCGTAGCGGGGCCCCGCGGGCAACTTCCCAGCAGCCCCGGCGGAGAGCGTGTACCGCGGAGGCTCTGGGAGACGCGGGGCCCCAACAACACCGGAAGCGGAGACCCGAGACCCGCCAGCCTAGGAGGGACCTGCGTCCGAACAGCAGGGCTTCTCCCAGGGTAGGACAATAGTGAGGATGTTTCATCATCATTCTTCTGACGATGCTAGCCTGCAAAGATTACACAGTGAAACACGAAAATTTTAGGAAAATCAGAAAATACAACAAAAACAATGGACAAAGCTTCACCTCCCGCTCCCTGAGATTTATGTGCTTAACCGTTAGATACACAACCTTCTTGCAGTTTGCAGGAATGAGATTATATGCATCATTTTCATCACTATCCTTGCAGAAAACAATATTTTATAAAATAGGAAACTTTTTTTTCCCTATGAGAACAGAAATAATCTATTCACAATAACACCAAAAGTGGTAAAAATAGGGACACCTGGGTGGTTCAGTCAGTTAAGCATCCGCCTTCAGTTCAGGTCTTGATCTGGGGTCCTGGGATGTGGCAGCACAAAGGGCTTCCTGCTCAGCAGGGAGTCAGTTTCTCCCTCTGCCCTAAGTCCCCTCCTGTTTTCTCTTTCTCTCTCAAATAAATAGTCTTTTTTTTTTTCCAAATAGTTTTTTTCTAATTATGCAAAATAATTATTCGAGTTAATAAAATAAGTAAATTTGTGGGAAAAAAAAGACATTTTTTGGTGTATAACATTAAAAGACTTGAAAAGGTAGATAGCCATATGATTTTCACAAAAAGAAGACTCCATCTTCAACAATACTCCAGGGGCGCCTGGATGGCTCAGTCGGTTAAGCGTCTGCTTTCCGCTCAGGTCATGATCCCAAGGTTCTGGGATTCAGCCTTGCACGGGACTCCTTGCTCAGCAGGGAGCCTGCTTCTCCCTCTGCCTGCCACTCCCCTTGCTTGTGCTCTCTCTGACAAATAAATAAATAAAAACATTATAAGCAGTAGAGGGGGGAAAAGGATGTAAAGGGAAGATTTATTTTCTCCACTCAAATAAAATGAACAGTCAGTAAGTTACATATATATATATATATATATATATATATATATATATAAAATATACAGAGCAACCACTAAAATAGCTCTACAAATAGACTCAAAACCATATATATACATCAAAATGGAATTCTAAAAAATGTTCAGGTAATCCACAGAAAGGGAGGCAATATGAAGAAACAAGAAACAAAAGGAACAAATATAAAACACAAACCAAAATGGCAGATGTAAATTCTAACATATCAATAATTACATTAAATCTAAGTGGTCTAATAATGCCAGAGGTTGCCAAAGTGGATTTTTTTTTTATTAAAGATTTTTATTTATTTATTTGGCAGTCAGAGATCACAAGTAGGCAGACAGGCAGGCAGAGAGAGGGGGAAGCAGGCTCCCCGCTGAGCAGAGAGCCCGATGCGGGCTCCATCCCAGGACCCCGGGATCATGACCTGAGCTGAAGGCAGAGGCCTTAACCCACTGAGCCACCCAGGTGCCCTGCCAAAGTGGATTTTTAAAAGATAACCCAGGGGTACCTGGGTGGCTCAGTGGGTTAAGGCCTCTGCCTTTGACTCAGATCATGATCCCGGGGTCCTGGGATGGAGCCCCGCATCGGGCTCTCTGCTCAGCGGGGAGCCTGCTTCCTCCTCTCTCTCTCTGCCTGCCTCTCTGCCTACTTGTGACCTCTGTCTACCAAATAAATAAACAAAATCTTAAAAAAAAAAAAGACAACCCAATGATGCTGTTTAGAAGAAACTAAATTAAAATACAATCCTATAGGCAGGATAAAAATAATGAATAGAAAAAATATATCGTGCCAACATTAATTTTTAAATTTTAATATAAAAAAGCAGGGGTGGCTATATAAATATCAAATAAGGTAAACTTCAGAACGCAGAAAAATACCAATAAAGAGAAGAACATTATATAATAGGGGTTACTCCAAGAAGGCATAGCAGTCCTAAATGCATATATACCAGATAGCAGAGCACATAGTATGTGAAGTAAAAATTGACAGAACTGAAGGATAGAAAAATCCATTATAGCTAGTGACATCAACATACTCTTAATAACTGAAACAATTACTAGACAGAAAATCACCAAGAATATAAAAGAACTCAGTAGCACATCAACGAACAAGATCTAATTGATATTTATAGAATACTTCACCCAACAATAGCAATACACACTCTTTTCAAGTACCCATGGAACGTGTACCATAAAACAAACTTCAGCCTATTTAAAAGAACTGAAATCACACATAGTACCTTCTCTAGCCTCAATGTAACCAAACTAGAAATCAATAAAAGAAAGAGAACAAGAAAATTTCCTAACCGTTGTAAACTCAACAATACATTTGTAAGAAGATCTATGGGTCAAGGGGACTCTCTCTCAGATGAAATTTTTAAAAATACATTAAACTGAAGGAAAGTGAAAAAAAATATCAAAAATTGTGACACAATAACTGAAGTAGTGCTAGGAAGGAAATACACAACACTGAGTGCCCGACTCAGGGTTGCCACGAATGAGGTCTAGACAGGCATTTATTGCTTAATTGTGATACTTGCTTTATTTTGGTAGTCTAGAACTAAACCTACAGGATACCTGAGGTAGCTTGTCATGGTAATGATTGCATAACTCTGTGAATATACCCAAAATCCCTAATTTGCACACTTGTATTTTGTGTTATATTAATTATATCTCAATAAATTTGTTATAAAAAATAAGGAAATAAAGTTTCTAGGGAAATGGAGTATAACCAGTAAGTTAAAAAATAATTAAACCAGAGGCACCTAGCTGGCTCAGTCCATGGAGCATGTGACCATCTCAGGATTATGAGTTTGAGCCCCATATTGAAGGCAGAGCTTACTTAAAAAAAAAAAAAAAGGAAAGAAAATTAAACCAGGAAAAAAAGATAATAATAATACCAAATGTGGGTATGAAGGGAAATAGGGAGTAATACTACCATAAACACAGCTCCTAATTCACTGGACACAGAAGTTTTTGAACATTCACGATTCCTGACAACTTTGAAAATTTGAGAAGGAACTGCATTGGTTTTAATTTTATGCATAATGTTAAGATTTTTAGTATTATACAGTACTACTTATAATATAGAAAAGTATTTTTTCTTGTTTGCACAATTGAAATTTTCCCCAAAATGCTATAGTACTTTCTTATGCAAGACATAAACACACACACACACAGAAAGACACACAGACTTGAATAGTAAAAGTGTCTTTTTTTTTTTTTTCCTTTAAGTAGGCTCCACACCAAGCATAGAGCCCAATGTGGGGCTTGAACTCATGACACTCTGATCAAGACCCTCAGTTTTGGGGGTGCCTGGCAGGGAGCTTGCTTCCCCCTCTCTCTCTGCCTGCCTCTCTGCCTACTTGTGATCTCCCTCTCTATCAAATAAATAAATAGAATATATATAAAAAAAAAAGAAAAAAAAAAAAAAAAAAAAAAAAAAAAAAAAAAAAAAAAAAAAGAAAAGAAAAGAAAAGAAAAGAAAAGAAAAGAAAAGAAATCAACAGTTTTAGGGCACCTGGGTGGCTCAGTGGGTTAAAGCCTCTGCCTTTGGCTTGGGTCATGATCCCAGGGTCCTGGGATCAAGCCCCACATTGGGTTCTCTGCTCTGCAGGGAGCCTGCTTCCCTCTCTCTCTGCCTGCCTCTCTGCCTACTTGTCATCTCTGTCTGTCAAATAAATAAATAAAATCTTTTTAAAAAGAGAGAGAGAAATCAACACTTTTGGATGCTCAACTAACTGAGCCCCCAGGTACCCCAATAAATAAAATATTTTTTTAAAAAATGGAGAATCGCTCAAATCCCATGGATGCAAAAGGATGTCTCCTGTGAATTATCTGCCAACTGGGTTACCCATTCACTTTCACCAGAAAAGGAATATCATGTGGGAAAGTCATCTTTTCAGCAAGAGAAAGGCTGCCTGCATCTTGGAGCTGGGTCAGCCAGACAACTCTGCAACCAGGAGGGAATCTGCATTAACCTGGATTCCAAGCCAGCCTTTTCTGGGGAAGCTCAAAAATAAAACACATGACGCCCCAGACTTCGCAGTGAAAACACCAACCCATGCAACTGAGAAGTAGACCTGTAAGTAGAAGTAGACCTTAAAGACCTGCTTTAAGTTCAGCACTCCCTATATGCCTGACCAGCTATATATTTCTTTTAAAATAAACACATACACACACACACACACACACACATCTCGTTCATGGTAGGATGTATTACATTGCTTTAGGCCAATATTCCTTCTAAAAATATCTAGTACAACCCATATAAACAACAAAAATATACTTAAAGGCATCGAACTATTGTGGGAGCAACAAGGATAAAGGAGACCAAAACTTGAGAACAGCAAGAATCGCAAGGAGGTGAACTCCCAAATTCCTGCTGTTTGTACGTGTGTGTGCTTCTCCTGATAGCATTTTCCAATTTTGGATGCAAGCAGAGCCTCTGGGCTTGTCTTGCCCCAGGTACGATGTCTCTGCTAAGGAAAAAACAAAGCAAGCACACTTTTGAGCAGTGGTATGCTATGACAGGAATGACAAATTCAAGAGTCTCTACTAAGAAACTAATGAGATGAGACCAAAAGGCAGAATGAAGTCTATCTCAGTCTTGTAGCGCTTAGAATATAAAGACTTTCTGAAAACAAAACAGGCAAGATATGAAAACACTAGAAATTGCAGTGAATTGCTCTTCAGTA